CTGGCATATGATGGCATATATAACATTGGTGGACGTGCAATGTTATATATGCCATCATATGCCTTAGTGACCAAAACATTCTCCAGAATTTACAGGCATCAGTTTGAACAGCAGTGCAGAATCTCTCAAATGTGATGAACCTCCAACTATTCATGTCCCTCCCAAAACACCCAGCCCACTGGCAATAAGCAGCTGCATGTTTCAGCAGAGTTAATAAAGGTGGACATTCAGCTAGAAAGAACCAAAGGTCGACCCATCCATTCCCATAGATCATTACAAAGTCATGATGTACTGCTGTTGAAAACTATAGTATCCTTGGACTGTTATTGTAGTGAGAGGCAGTGTGGTCTAGTGGATGGACCATGGGATGGGAGCCAGGAATTCCTCAAGTCTAATGGTCTGGCTGCATAGTTTTGATCGTCACTTTTGCTACGTCTACACTGCAGGTGAAGGTGTGACTGTAGTAGGGGTAGGCATACCTGAGCTAGCTTTAATCTAGTTGGCACAGGTAATAGTAGTGAAGATGGATGGCATGGGCTGGCAACCTGAATGTGTCCAAGTTCTGTGGTGGGCTTGTACTCAGGTGGCTAGCCCATGCTGCCACATCTGTCCTATTATCTGTGCTAGCTAGATTTAAAGCTAGCACCCTTAACTCTTGGCCTCTGTCTTGCTATATATAAAGTGGGGAGGGGGTGATAATACTTACCCAGCTTTAGTAAGGCACTTGAAGAACCAGGGAGGCCCTATAAAGTTTTATTATTCATTCTTTGCAGTGTAAATGCTTGATGTGCATTTGAGGCATCCAGGCCATGGCAGGGCCTGTGTTAGGATGTCTTATTTCCAGTTAACACAACAAGTAGTAATACCATGTGTTTGTAACTTCATAGGGTAGCCAGCTGGGGAATACTGCAGCCCACAGGTAGCCAGTCCTAGCTTTCTGTAGCTGTGGCAGCTGTTCATTCAAATACACTGTGCTGATGGCACTCTTCAGTGATGGAATAGTTCTATATTGAATAAGAAAATCTCATTTATGCATTTAGCAACTCGTCGAGCTGCTGTCCTGTGCATCACAGGAAGTGTGACTTTCTGATTGCATGACAGATCACAGAATCCTCCAGATACAGTGACACATAGTTGATTTGTGAGAGCAGTATTAAATACGCCTCGGGCAAGCCAAAATATCTCTAGTGTCAGCTGTTGGTTTATATTCAAGGCAGCCAGTATTTTGGTTGTGCTGTTTTTAGTCTGTGTTTGTGTGGTAGTGGTGTTTTTTCCCCATCCTAAAATATTTAGTGTTCCAAAATGCAGTGGCTGACGAGAGGTTTTAATTTTCGCCCCTAATGGGTCTCACAGGTGATACTGTTGTTGGTCGGTGAAATGTTTTGGTGCAGTAGCAGTCCCCATGTTCTGCAGTAGACGAGGTCTCTTCATTTTATAGAGACACTGCTATTCAGTGGAATTCAGCCTGCTAGAACATTAAATCCCCTCTTCCCCCTCACTTGCAGGACAGGTGGAAATTTTAGGGCTCCAGGACTTGTACGTGGGCCTGACAGTATCACAGGAGGAGAAGCTGGTTACTGATGTTGAGGCTTGAAACCTATGCCTAGTCTCACTGGAGTGAAATGGGAATTTCTGTTGGCCTCATTAGGAACAGAACATCTAAGACATAGGGTTTTTACTGGTGTCCTTGGCTTAACATTTCTTTTCCCCATCCACTTCACTTTTGTGCAGTGTGTCAGAAGGCATCTTCCCTCCACCCCACGTCAGAGGTACTGTGTGACTGTCATGCACATTGGAGGGAAAGGTGCTATGGAGATGTAAATAATGGTCTGACTTTCTTTTCTGGCCCCTGGCTTTCGCTTTGTTTTATTGAGAGTTAGAGACTTCGGTTTCTTTGTGGCTTAGGCTTTTCTCTAATAGTTTTGTTGCTCTGAATCCTCCCAAATTTTGTGGGAGGTGTTATGATCTGGGGTTTTGGGTTTGTCCCATATCTAGTTCCTACAGATGTCAGCTCTGTATAAAGCAGCATCAATTATCACTGCCCAGGCTTCCCCAATCCACTTTCATAGGCCTGCAAGTTACTGTACTAAAAATCTGCAGTAAAATCTGAGAGAGTTAAAAATCTCTTGTATGCCACTCATTTGTGGCAAGTAAGCAGAAGTGTTATATATAGTTATGGTTGAGTTCCAGTTTCCATTCTAAAGCTTCTTTTTTTTTTTTAAAAAAACAATTCCTCTTTTTTGGGAAGAAACTTTCCATTGGTCTGGCTTTTTCTGAGTGTGTGTATGGGGGAGGGTGGAAGGAATATACTGTACTTTGAGCCTAACTTTCCTTTCACTTCTTATACTGGTAATAACCATGACTTCAGTGCAGTTACCAGTCTAAAACTGGTGTAAGGAAGAGGAGAATTGGGCCCTGTATCTTTTGCACTTGCATAACTTAAACAGTTGACTGTCTAGAAACTTCAAACTCGGCTCATTTCACAGCCTTCACAGGAAGGAAAAGGAATCTGTGTGTCTGAAGAACATCAGCTTATTGGCTTTAAAGGGAGACAAGAGAAGCTGTGACTAAAACACAGGATTGGGAGTTAGATGACTTGGATTCTATTTCTGTGCTACTACAGACTTCTTGGTGACCTTGGGCAAATCACTTAACCTGTCTACAGCTCAGTTATGAGAGAGACAGAGAGATGCAGATGTGGAGGACCTGGTTTACATATGTAATGTAGATGACCATGTTTGTCACAGATTAGAAGCACATTGTAACACAGCCCCTTGACTTGGCTGTAGCTTTATTGTAGATGGTCCCTCTGAGTACCCTGCATGGATGCTTCATGTTGTTCTTTGTTGGCTTGAATGTAATGTAGTGCTTCAATTATCAGTATCCAATTGTTGCAGGCAGATGAATTTGCAGTCCTAATAATGGCCAGTGTGGGGCCTATTACCCTACAGAGGGGCAGTGTAGTTATTACAGTCACTGCCACTGAAGTTGCGCATAGAATATTTACCTCTCTATCTGCATTAGAATAGAAACCCCAACAGAACAGTTTACCAGCAGTGACTGAGGAGAAATAAACATTTTTGTCTTAAAAAACCTGCATAATTAATATAAAACAACTTCAAACATACTTCTTGGATTTACAGTGCACATGGCCTGTTAGTCCTTGTTAACACATACCTTTAAAAACTTAATTGTGTCATCTTGCTACAAATTTGGGGGGGGGAGGGGTTTCTCACAGTAAATTTAACCATTTGTAAGCGGTTTGGACTGTCTCTATACAGCACCTAGCAGTGTAGGGTCCCAATCTCAGTTGTGGGCTTTGTGCTACTGTAATCTCACTAGCAGAGCACTTTCCAGTAAGCTATGTCAGTTATTGGCATAGAGATATCTCCACAGTGAGAAGTACTACCTGCCTGCATTTTATATACCTGATACCTTAACGTTTCTGTTCGGGTCTGTTGTTGTTCCCTGGGTCACTTCCTGCTTACACTACTGTGTGGTGTTTGGCAACAGCTCAGCAGATAACTGGCACGTGCCCTCTGAAGTGGAATAGCACACAGCTTTCCAGGTACTAAGCTGGAGAAATAGGCTGCCCTGCAGCAAAATGTTTATAAAACTATCCGAGCACTTGATGTACTTGACCCTTTGCACTCTTGGAGAGGTTACAGGTCTTGGGGGGAAACTCCCCTGCAACTTGTGTTTATATCTGACTGATAGTTAGGGGCTGAGCCACGTGTCTTGAACCCACAAATAGGAATGGTAACTTCTGATAGACAGACAAGTTAACCCATGGGAGACTACAGATATAGAATAAAGGGTGTGTGTGTGTGTGTGTGTGTGTGTGTGTGTGTGTGTTGTGCACATGCACACACTATATGGAGATGATCTCAGTGCGGTAAATATATCCTGCATCTTTGACTGCCTCATCTGCACTCTGTCCACTAATCCAGCCCTCCAGGGACTATTTCCTACACACACAACCTCTAAGCAGCTTGCGTCAGCTGCCATTTACCAATAACAGCTTGTCAAGACAATCATTTCCACCTTCCTTTTACTGCACCAAATTGGACTCTTTAAATGTTCCCTCGTCAGAGACTCGG